AGGGGGGGGGGGGGTTGTACTAAGAGGCTAGGACCCATTCGACTCAGTCTACCTCCTACAAGGATAATCTTAGTTTGTGTAATTCAGATACAAATTCCACTTTTATTAAAGAGCCAAAACTCCCATAGGTGAAATTCTGTCTATTTACTTTGATTCTGCAGACTGACAAGGGACTGGGATGGTTGTGGTCTTCTGAGATATTCTCTTTAGGTATTAACCTACTGAGGAAATCATTTCAAGAGTTTGGGAGGAGAAGAGAAGAAAAATACATTAAACTAGGAGACAGAATTCAAAGGTTCTTTAATAACTGGCTCAAAGCCTCAGACCTTTTTTACACCCTCCAAAACAGAAGAAAAATACACTATTTGTCCCTAACTATCTCACAGATTGTTGTGTGGTGGCATCATAGGATGAGGGTAAATAATTTGTGTTGCCAAAAAACTTATATATAGACCCCACTTTAATAAGCTATCATCATTCTTGCTACAATATGGAAACAGTTCAATCACTATAATCAATATAGACTTGGACGTAACACAGCATCTTGCCTGGATGTATGTATGCAGAGTAGCAAAATATTACAATTCTTCTACATCTGAGAAATTGCCATGATCAGTCTGAGTTTATCTTTGTCAGACATCACTTTGCAGCAGAAGTTAGCAGGTAATAGGTGACACTTTTAAAATTCTAAAAATAGAACAAAACCTTCCATTTGTTCTGAGGATCACCATGCTCTTATTTCTCCTGTTAAAGTTCTCCTCTATTCATCAAAGAATAGCTCAGTGATGAGATGAGTCTTGATCTTAAGAGTATCTGCATTGTTTTTGATACCAAGAAGCTAATAATCAAGAATCAAACTTTATTTCTTCACTTATTTCATTGATGCATCCAGACCTATGACCAATAAATAAAAATCCATGGAATTTGTCACAATAGCAATTAAATAACTGAGGGTGGATGAACTGATATAAATCTACCCCCATTACATGAAATCAAATTGAAATAACAATTCAAAGTTTATGTCTTAATGAGAGCTCACCAATAATATAGCCTCCATATATGAAGGAGGGACAGTTAAAATAATATCAATCTCCACAAAACCAGATTAGTTTCCATGGATGAACATATTCCCTTCTTCGACTTCAAGATTTTTATTTAAAAATTAGAGTGCTAATCTGCAGAATCTCAGAAGCTTTAATTTCAAGTAGACAGATTTAATCAAGTATTCCAGCACCAGTGTTTACACACCTCTGCTTTAATTCTGGAAGAGGGACAAATCCTAGCTTTACAAGATGTCATTTGAATAACCCCATACATATAAATCACATTTCTTTCTACAGAAAAATATCCCTAAACTTTTCTTAATGTGATACACACTTAGATCGTATCCACAAGAGTGTAAAATATCAAATCAGAGAACTTCAGTCTGAATTCTATCTCTAGTTTCTAGATGGCAACACTTGGAAAAGTTGATCAACTTGTTTGACTTTTAGTTTATTTTTCTTTTAATAAAATAGAAATAATGCCACATATCTTAGAGTTGTTATGAAAACTGCATAAGAATATGTATTTATACATTTATTTTATATAAACATAAATGTTTATTTAAAATTTATTACTTATATGTATATAGACAAATGGTGCTTAACATATGCTAAATGAAACAAAGAAATTAAAAAGAAGCATTAGGTAACAATTGTACATCAACAAATAAGAAAATCTAGAAGAAATTTCTTAAAAGACACAAATTACCTAAACTTACTCAAGAAAAAATAAAAAAATATTGACAG